ACTCTATAAAACATGTATCTGAGCCAACCTGGCATATGTATTTTTTTCTTACACTTTCTATCCCATTACAGAAGTAATATCTACCAAATAATGCTGTGCACTTCTAAACGGCTAGCTTTCAGCTACTTCGTCATGCTGTGGTCGTTCCGTCTTTTCCTCTGAAGGCTGAGAAAGCAAATAAAGGAAACATAGTGCTTGGGAGCATATAGCCCCAGTGCTGTGGACATTATGTGTCCTGAAGTTGGAACTTTGGTACTATAGCCAGGCTTGGTTTGTTCCATGTGAATACAGTCTAGTACATGTAGGGGATTCTGTTTGGTATTCAATTAAGAGCTCTCTTGACTCCTGTTATTAAAGCTTATAAACTATTGAGTGTAAAATTAAACAGTTCAGCTCTTTTTGACATTGTAACATTGCCTGAAAAATAGTGATGTAAAACCCAAGTCGAATGTCATTCTTTAAAGCCCATGGGCAAATAAAAAGTGAAAACATTGAGGGGAAAAGAGTAAATGTCTAAAACTTGGTCATTTACTAATGACACAGTATATAATGTTAGGAACATGCTACTGTGCTTATTGCAAATACATCAACCAGTTTGTTGAACACAGATATTACATTGATTTTAACAGAAAGCTGCAGGGTTATTATTGCTAAAGCTCCAATGAAGGAAATAATTAAAACATTAAGCATTTTAGGGTTTTAAAATTAGTTTAGGCAATAACCAGAAAATACTATAGGGAATAGATATTCCGTAATTGAAAGGAAATTGAATTGGTCTTTATTTTTTTAATCCCTTTTAAATTTTCTCTAGACTGCCAGACCATGGAAGACAGAGAATCTCATTTTGCTATCAGCAGTGTGACTTTCTGTGAATCTCATGTGCTGCAGAGACCACTTATATTATTTATATTTAGAAAGTGCTCAGCTGAATAGATAGTATTATGAAATTTCGTGTGCATTATCTTTGTTAGTCTCTAGCCTCGTTGTTTAAAACTAAAACAGAAACACAATCAGACAAAAACAGCCTTCTCCACACGAGCAAAGTCAAGTTAAAGACATTTCAAACAATGAAACCAGAGAAGTTGTTAGATAAGTCTCACACTTGAACCTGAGTGAAATTCTTTTAGTTCTTATCAAACACTATGCCTGTCAATCTTGCTATGCTGCAGGACTGTGACCCATTGTAGATACAAACTCAGTGTAGATCTATGTGAACCTAACTCATTTTTCTTGCTTATTATTGGAAGGAGTTTTTACAATCAAACAAAATAGCTTGAAGTGAATCTCAGGGAGGTGACTGGATATGAACAGAAATTAAGGAGTCTTAAAACTTGAGTAATCCTTCAAAAACGTGTGTATAATCAGCCTTTCCCTTATAATGAGGATAAGAATGATACCTTCCTCATTGGGTGGTTTTGAGAATAAATTAATTAATATATGCAAAGCTCTCTGATGATTAGCACATACTGTGCACTATGTATGTGTTATAATAATTTTTATAAAAGTGACATTGATGGTGATGATTTTGCCTTTTAAATTTTATTGCCAAAATATGAATTCACTCACTATTATATTGAGCCAGCCACTTAACAGTACCGAGGCTTATTTTCCTTGACTATTAAAATAGGAATACTATCTTCTCTACCTTCCTTAAATAGATCGTGTTTATGAAAATAATTTTTTAAGCTATGAAACAGTACGGCAACTAACAATACTGAATCTGGACTTTAAAAAGCAATAGTTACGTGTATATATATGGCTGAGTCACTTTGTTGTACACCTGAAACTAACACAACATTGTTAATCAACTATACTCCAATATAAAATAAAAAGTTAAAAAAAAAGCACATCAGTTTAAATCCTAATTTCATCTCTTTGTAAATAAGTGACCTTAACTGAATCCTTAATTTTTATGTCTATAAAGTAATATTGATAACAGCACCATCTCATAAAGTTATTTTGAGTCTTAAATGAGATCATGTATGAAAAGCTCAGTACCATGGCTGACGCACAGGAAGTATTCCAAAAAATGTAAAAAAAAAAAACAAGTTCTATTCAATGTAGGAAATGAATATCATTGTAATTTTTAAATGATTTCTTTGTTACAACCTATGTTGATATGTGATGAGTGGATATACTTTATTTCTAGTTTTCCAGAGAATCTGTATCCTGAAATATCTCTGTATCAAAATTTCATCTCTAGTTTTTGGCGACCACAGCTAACATTCAGATAACATTAAGTATTGGAGTGGGTGAATATGCAGGAATACCTGAGTTAAGTAAAAGGAGTTACCAGTCTTAAAATATAGACTGTTGTTATTAAGAACAGGAACAACAACAAAAAAAAAATAAAAGAACAGGAACAACTTTTCAACTTTCTAAGTACTATAATCAAAAGACATGTGAGTCAGATGGCAAAAAAAAAAAAAAGAAAGAAAACAGAAAGGTGAAAAACCTTCATAAAGCAGAAGAGAAAATTATATGGCCTGTAGTATATATGAGAGAATCTGGCCAAACAATAAAAAAACTTCATATCAACTTATTGACCTGCCCACCATGCACACACTTGATATTAAAAATAAACCTCCAAGGAAAGACTTTTATTGGCTCGGGTCAGACGACCAACTGTTAACAATTGCTAAACCAGAGAGTCAGAGGCATGAAAAAATTTGGATGATTTGGAACACTTGTCTAGGGATGGAAAAAGAAAGCAGTTCTCCAAAAGGAGGGATGGGGTTCGTGGCCATGCATGGTCACTGGAAGAAATCAGTGTGAATAAAAAGAAAAAAAAGAGAGAGAGAGGAAGGGGAGAGAAGAGAGAGAGAGATAAGAAACACTATATATAGTACAAATAGTACTATAGTATATTAGTATAGTTTAAACTATAGTTTAAGTCACTGCCCAGGTCGGAAGATAAGATACAGCCACCTGCTTACCTCCTCCAAATGCTTTTTCCTTACTGTTATTTCAAACCCCCAAACACTAGAATGCTCTAGAATTTTTCAATCATTGACTGTACTTAGTTATGTTTAAAGGAAGACATAATTAAGAAGAAGCTGGAAATTATATATTTTTAACTGTTTGTCCAGAACATTGTTGAAACAAACTAGTCAGCAGGTTTTGTTGGTATTCCAGTAGTAAATATTTTGACTAGTCAATACACCAAAATGCTATGTTCAGGCTGGCACTAACAGATGTCATTTGTCAATATTTAGGCAAACTGACAGTAGGTTCACCAAACTTAAAAAACAACTCCAAGGGAGAAAAAACCCTGTGTTTACTTTGGCAGTTTAAACGTATTAGTCATGAATAAGATCATGTCCTAAAAGCTATTAATTTAACTTAGAATTAAGTAATATAATGGTAAAAGACAGATAGCACATTGGAAATTTAGCTTTTCACTTAGTTTTAGATCTCTTTTTTCACCAATATTATTTGGTCTAGGGAAATAAAACCTTGAAGAAGTAATTAGAAAAAGTGCACGTCAATAACTGTAATTGAGGATAGACTTCGGTTGACCTCAGAAGAGAACAAAAGCTCAAAAGAAATTTCATAAGGTTTTAAATTTGGCAAGAGGACTACAATATCTCTGATAACTAGACTTTCAACACATTTGGATTTGCTAATTGGATCTAAGTTCTAATTAGACTTTTATGTAACTAAAAATGACACATCACTGTATGAATTTAATGTGCTTTTGCAGTTGAAACCAACAATTAGCAGCCTTTTTCAAATTATTTTAATAAGAAAAATGCTGGCTTTTTGTTTACATTGTGACATCCACTTCTCTTAAGATATATTGTATACATTTTAGTTTTCTCCAATACCATTTGTGGAGCTCAAAGAGAAACTTGAGTTTTAATGGGAAGCACCCAAATTGTTTATTTGTGAGGGAGACTTGCCAGTATGTTAATGACTTCAGAAGCCACAACAAAACGCAATGCAAGGAAATAATAGTCTTTCGGAGGAAGCAGCACAAATAACCAGGTGCCCCTGTAAACCATTCAGTTAACCAAAACAGTCTTTGAATATGACTAAAAGTCTGTTACATTTTTAAAGCATGCAAGTATGGAATAAGTTCCCAAATGTCAAGGCTCATGGAGCTGGTATCAGGATTAATAGTATGATGTATCTTCCCAAGATGTGCATTGCAAAATTCTCTTTGCAGCTTTGCTTCTTGGGCAGATATCTGCTAATCCAAGTCACAGCACCTCTCTTTCCTCCTTACTTTTGAATTGAGAGTCACCCATTTTTATCCCATTGTGATTTATAGGAAGTAATTTTAAGACTGGTAGTCCTCAGGTTTGGATATTACAAGACATAAGAACTACGTGAGAATGTAAAATTAAACCAGTAGTTTGGAGAGCAAAGAGCAGTTAATCGTTGCAAGACTTTAAGGAAAAGGCTGCTGCCAAAGTCTTCCAGACAGATTGATAACACTGACAAAAAAGGCAAATTACATTGTTTTATGTACTGTGAATACTTGAAAACAACAAAGCCATATAGATGATTTTTTTTCCTCAAGTAAAAGCTGTAACCCCTCTAACCACATTAAAAATCTTACAGTTTTATGTTCCGTTAAAAGCAGTGTAAGATCTAATTAAAACCACTGAAACTGTAAAAAAAAATCTAACTTGTGTAGTAATTGGTATATTAGAACAGGCATTATGCTAGAATTATACGTGCTCTTATTTTTCCAATTAGTGTGTTACTGGGACTGAGTTATTGGTGTATTTATAACTCCTCATTAAGTCACATGTCCTCAGTGAGTCCCCTAAAGCATGTTGGATACTGTCATATGCCATATGATGATATTTAAAAGCAGGAGATAGCATAGCATTTTTGCTTGCTTCATTTGCTATTAAACAGGAAAAGCTGCACAGGACACTTCCTGTTATCAGTGACTCCAAGATTTATCCCACATTTCTCTGAAAGGCCTATATATAGGTGATTGGACTGTTCTTCAGGCAGAAAAGTGACCAAGCTATTTCATCTTTCAGCTTGGGTGCTGGACTCCTGTCACAGGGCTGAATGGGTCCCTGACTGACAAGAAACTGGAGAATAACATGCGTGGAGTGGTCCTACGTGTGGTGACTGTTCTGGTAGGTCTGATCTGCCCCTTGCAGTTTTGGCTTCTAGATGTTCCTTTATCCTCCATTTCTTTATGTTTCATTAACTGATGTCATAATACTAAAGGAGCTGACTGTGCATTCTAAGGGATTTGTAATGGTCATGTTTTCCAACCTTCAATTTATGTGGATCAGAATCAGATTTTTACAGGCTTTTCCTTTAATTACAGTACTTTTGTCATAACTTTCTTAGACATTTTAGGCCACATTTCCATCCTTCTACAGTTTCCTACACATGATAAAGTGAAGTTATCTCTCAGGCATTCTCTCACTGAAGCCCTATGGTCTATGTAAATGAAGATAACCATGCCAAATAAGGGTAGATTTGATCAAACACAGTACATTCAGTAACACTAAAACATTAGCAGACTAAGAATATTTTTCTGGGAAGGACCTACTTCAAAGTAAAAATCATCCAGTTGTTTCGTAAATAGTATTTATTATCAACCGTATTCAAGCTCAGTGCTGATTTCTGGGGACAGTGGTGGTTAAAACGGACAGATATGATTCTGTCTTAAAAGAACGTATCATCTAGTGATTCTGTGGCTATTACATGGAATTATACATGTGAAACATTTATTACAAATTCATTTACTTGGTATAAAAAGCAATAAATGGTAACTGTTTTCATTATTCTATACATTATTATTTTCTCACATGATACACAAATAAAATAAGATGTCAAAAGAAATAGTCTTCAACAGTAAAATACTCACATGGGTACTATCTAAATAGCCATAAAACATGAAGACATGTATTCTCCCTGCCTGTTTCAACGTGATTAACCTTGTGCTACTTTATAGTACGTTTCAAAACGGAATAATCCATAGTTATTAACTTCAGTTTTTTTCAGAAAAGCCCACTTGTTTTTAAATTTGAAAAAGTCTTTCTTATAGGCTAAAAAAAATTGCAGAATTAGTAAACAGGAGAAAGGTCTTTTTTGGTATGTTGATGCTAACAGATGTTTATCAAGGTTTATAACAGCAATAGCTGTCCTTTGTACATTGTTTAATACAATTTAAGCAGACTCAACATAATTTCATTGTCTAAAAGAAGGTTCTGTGATATTCTCTATAAAAGGAAATTCAAACGAGTAATCTATCCTCCCTTTTTGCTGCCTATAATTTATTTTTAGTTATTGTTTTAATAAGATTTTTACTGTTTGGCAACTAATTATATTATGAGTACTTGATAACTTAATTGTGAATGTGCTTCTGTATGTATTCAAACGTGTAGATATGCATTGGCACTGATGTGCTAATATTAAAAAAAGACAAACATTTAAAGTACATTAAACTGTAATAGTCTCTTCTCTAGTGATTAACATGGAAACTCAGGTGAAAACTGTAATAAAAGACAGTATATGTGCTTTGCTTTTGTCTTTGACATTCATATTTCAAGGCAAGCTAATCGCATTTAGTCATTAAACAAATATTTATTTAGTACTTACTATATGATAGACTTGGTAATGGGTTAGCCATCTTATATGCATATTCATACCTCAAGGTGTGCAAAGAATCTTACTGGAGAGAAACACATGTAAATAAACAGCTAAGATTTATTAATTACTTACTATGTGCCAGATACTCTACTAAGTCTTTTTCATCTGTTATCTTAATCAGTCCTCACAGTATTTACAATAAATAGATAGTATTCTGATCCTAAGAATGTGGTTGAAGAAACTAAGACATACAGAGGTTGAAATAAATGTGGAAGATTATACAGATAGGAAGTAACAGAGAGAACGAGGATTCAAATCCAGGATCTGACTGCAGATCTCTTAACTTCTGCCTTCTTTTTTTTTTTTTTTTTTTTGCGGTACGTGGGCCTCTCACTCAACGGGCCTCTCCCGTTGCGGAGCACAGGCTCCGGACGCTCATGCTCAGCGGCCATGACCCACGGGCCCAGCCGCTCCGCGGCATGTGGGATCTTCCCGGACTGGGGCACGAACCCGTGTCCCCTGCATCGGCAGGCGGACTCTCAACCACTGCGCCACCAGGGAAGCCCAACTTCTGCCTTCTTAACATTATAATCTTTCTCCTCCAACTGTGATAAGTGTGCAAACTGAGGTAGCTATAGGATTTTCTTGATAGTTGGAAATGCTTAACTCTGAATAAGATGAAAGTGAGTTTTACTGGGAAAGGTTCACAGAACCAATTATTTTAAATTCATTTCCAGGCTGAGCAGAACGATTGCTGTTTTGTGCTTGAAATGGTACTGCCTCACACAGTGTTAATACCTGCATGCCCCAGTCTCACCTTCATGATTCAGAATGGTCTGTTTCCTGCAAGCTTAGCCCAGCACATATCCTGAATATGACTAGTGAATGAAGATATGGAAACAGTCTCTTTCCCCCAAGTTTTCTGTGGTGCAACATGGATTTATCAGTTGGGTGCCCAGTTGAGTAAAAGGTTGTTACACTTTTCACACTCCCACAATATACAGCCATTGTACTTAATAATTTCTCAGGCTTCCTGACTCTTCCTGTAATTCTTATTTGAATGGAAACCAGCCATGACTTTCTTATTTATTTCTTACAAGCACCTTTCCAGGTCTAGCTCTTACTTACATGGCCTTGCAAGCTTCCTCCACCCAACACTGAGAATCACTCTTTCCTAAATCCACCCAGCAACTCTAAAATCACAATGTCAGCTAAACCCTGAAACTCAGATTTGGTCTATATTGGACTTGATTTAGCAAGCTAAACACAGCCCCCTTGTATTCCAAGTATTTACCTCCAGCCATTTCCAGAAGGGAGAGAGAGGAGGGAGGGCTCATGTGTAAAGCCCCTGAGGGAAGGTCTCTCAGCTTTTATTCCATTCTAACTGTGATCTAGTCCCAGTTACACACACACACACACACACACACACACACACACACACCCTTTACTTCTTAGGAAAGTTATGCTATCGATGACACACGGGTTCATAAAATTGATTTTTCTTACCTAAGTTTTGAAACTCCTATTCCTATCACTATTAAAGATATTTCATTGACTTGAAGGAAGTAATCTAATATTTATCTTAAACTAAATATTTCAGCACTATATTGTTTATGATGCCAGGGGCAAGTGAATGGTATTCAAATGGTTAATTGAAGAAAATTAAATAAAGGAATTATTAACAAATACTTTAAGTAAGGTTAAATAAGTCAACAAGGATGTTGAAGTGCCAGGGCCTAGATGCACAGCAAGCCTTGACAACCCTGAAGACTGATGTGACGTGGGAGAGAGCAGTATTAACAGATCTAGCTAGAGCCATGGGAGAAAAATCATAAAATAGTAGCTGTGACCTTTGTTATGGGAAGAGGATGGAGAAGGAGAATCAGTGTCAAAACGACATTCAGGCAGTGAGGAAATGGAGAGGAGGTTACCCCAATGTCACTTCTCCTATCTTTCCATCTCTTGCCATTGTTTCCAATTGCAAATACAACCAGAAATCAGAGGGCAAGGGAACCCAAGTAATGAAGGCCATGAAGGTCAGCTTTCCAGGTCACAGAGCAGGGCAGTGAGGGACTGGAGGGGAAACGGGAAAAACCATCACCGGCATCTCTTATTTGATCAAACCTGTTAAGAACTTTACATGTGTTAACTTATTTAATTCTTATAAAAACTCTACAAGAGATGCACTGATTACATTAAAGGATGAAAATAAGGCTCAAAAGAATTAATTAAATCTCTGTGTCCATATAACTAACAAGAGCCAGAGTTGAGTTTCAAGCCCACTGATCCTGGTTCCGGTGGCCATGTCCTTAGCCCTCTGACATTCTGTCTTTGGGATCAGAACGAATTCATATTAGGTTTAAATTAAATATAACTATTGAGATTGCAAATGTTATTGGATTAGTAATTTAGGAACATTTTTTAAATGGCATCACATAAGGATGACTTTATAGTCAACCATCACCAAAGCCATGTAAGTGTCTTAGAAATGGAGAAAAAGAAAGAAAGAATGTGAATAAAATTCCCTCTGCTAAACTCTGTTTCCATATTTGGTGTGCTGATCTCTACATCTTACCAAGTGGGCCAAGTGTCTTACTATGAGGCATTTATTAAGATCATTTTTTTCCTTTTCACTTTTAAAGTTGTACAAGTATGGATAGCCATAAGTGACCAATTATGGCATTCAATTTTTTCATGGTAATTCACAAAAGTTATTGGAAACATCACTGAGTTATAAATATCATCATCATAATAATGAATACTTAGGAAAATAAAATGGAAAGAAGTTGGCAACAAATGAAAAGAAAGATTTGAGAAGCTATCCTGTAAGAAAAAGTACAAGATATCTGAAAAACATAAACTGGCATTTAGAAAGAGATCACTGATAAATAACTCTTATTTTCTTGATTTGGTTTTGCCTAAAACAGACACATCGCATCTCTGATGAAAGATGAACTCACTCATAAATTGATTTGAGAAGTATTTACTGAGTATCTTTTTCTAGGTGCTTGGCGTACATACAAAACAGAGAAAGATACTGACTTTGGGGAGTTTCATCCTAGCAGGACATATACAGCGCTAAGAATATTTCTGAAAAAATGCAATGCCATTGTTCTACATTGAATATAGTGTACAATGCAGTATTCCTTTGCCTAAAACTACCATAAACATAATTGTATAACTTTATATACATATATGATTGGAAATTTATGGTAGAGCTGTGGTGGTGCTTTTTCTGTATTTTATAAATTCAAAAACATACAGTTTTTCATATTTTAATATCTTTGAATCAGGATGCATCTTTCAATTGATGTCTTCTTGCAGTTAAAATTGGCATCATTTTTTGTCTTTATTAGTTGTAGGTAAAACAATTTTTTTTTGCATCTTGCAATTGAAAACATTTTAGATTAAATAATATGTGGATGGTATCTTTACAAAATTTATTAAGTTAATGGATATTCCTGGAAACTTCATTTAACAAAACTGAGCATGAAGCCATCTTAAAGAGACAGACTATTTTAAAGAATACCTC